AATGATACACTAATAATAAAAATTAAGGTAACTGAAAAGGCACAAGTATTTTAATTTTATTTAATGTTTCATTATTAGTACTTTTAAAAGTACTATCGGTTTTATAACATACAATAATGATAGGTTAGAATGTATAAGAAGTAAAGTGAATAATTATGTTAATTATAATATTTATTAAACTAAAAATCAGAACGTTCTCATGGTAAATTTTCTCAATCATATCATAATTTTAAAAGTCCAATATTCAATCCATCTCAATAGAAAAAATATACAAAAATAAAACTTTCACCATCAAGACCTAATGTTCCTTGCAAAGAACTATTATTTTCAAACGAAAAAAAATCTTACAAAACTTCTTCGAATTGGTACAAAATTTTTTTTGCTTGTTAAGCAGTATGTTAACTTAAATTATACTGGTTAGTTTTTCAATTAAACTACGTTTACGTGAAGAAAAAAAATTAATCGTACATCACGTCCTCTCGGAAGAACCACCTTGTCAAAGAAAAATGATAATTTGACAGTGACATTTTGTTTTTTTTACATAAATAAGTTCGGATACCTGATTTTGAATACTTTAAGCCATAGACTATCACTCTTTTTATTCAATAGGCGCGAATTTTTGAACTTAAAATTATCGCTAAAGTTTTTGTTCCTCTGAGGGCACATCCGGCGATACTTACAATTCACCTCCGAAAATGTCTCGGCGTTACTGACTACAAAGTTTCAGTTCCTTCTGAGGCACATCCGGGCTTACGAGGTTAACTAGTTATTTTCTTAACATGTAACATCCTAGTAACAACGTTAGAATCTCTTCCATAAAATCAAAACGATTGTTTCCAAAACGCTCTGAAGCTAAGTTGAATTCACTTTTAAGTAAACGCCATAAGGTAGATGTTTGGTTGACAGATTGACACAAAAAATAACTGGTTTCCAGTTTCGTTTATAGTAACAATAATTACCCGTCAATCACTGCACTTTATACTAGTTTCTCTAGAAATTTTCTAGCGGCTCCGCCCGTTTGAGGGCCTTGTTTGTGCGCTCATATTAAAATAATTTTGATTATACCGAATATTAATGAATGGCGCGTGATCAGAAACCTTAGAAAAGGCCCTAAAACAGAAACCAGAAAATAATGTAAAACAAAAATAACGATGGTTTAAAAACTCACTTGCCCCTTTGCCCTAGCTCAGATAAAAAAAAGTGTCATGATGGCAGGCATGATGACAACAACAACAACAACAAACAGCTGTTCAGCAACTGTCATTCTATTGAAAAATACTGCCGGTGTTAAAAATTATTCATCTGATAAATTGTAGATTATGTGAGAAAACTAATTACTGCAACAGTTATAGATCCCGGTCAATTTTCTTATCAGCATGAATAATTTCCAGAAATGTCCCCTGAAAATTTACATTCAAGATATTTTCCGCGCGAAGCGATCTGCCGAAAACAAGTACATTTACGAGATTTTCGGCATGAATTTCAAGAATATTATGATACACGGCGTTGTCACGTCGGTATATAATATTACAGCAACATCATCGAACTTGGAAATAAGTGATTTGACGGGATCTGTACAAGTATACTTTGATTCTTCTAAAAGTAACCACAAAATAGCTGAAGGCACTTTAAAAGACTTGAGACGGGAGTATACCAGTGCATCTCAGTTTGGAGATATTAATATAGACATTATGAATACTTTAATGAGCAAAATAACAGATGCGTCCAAGAGAGTGATTACAGAAGGGAGCTATTTGAGTATAATCGGGGACATTTTTGTTGATGAAACCAAAAATGTTAGGATGGTATCTGCATTTGAATGTAGTGAGACTTCAGAACAACGGGATATTGTGTGGATGGAAGAGCTCAGGTATCTTTACGAAAAGTTTTATCTGTGGGAGAAAGAATAAGTTTATTTAGTAACGGAGTACTCTTGAAAAAACTTTTTGCTAACAGAAACTATTCAACAGATTGTTGATAATCATACAGTATTCTATTTCTAGTTCGATTATGCAAGTTCTAGGTTTTTAATAGAATAAAATAACATTTTAAGTGTGTAAATGTAAATTAAGTTAGATAGGAGTTTTTTTTATACCATTATGAATGTATATTTGTTAAACTACTCCTTAACTAACTAAGTTGAATAATGTAAGTAGTCGTCTAGCATGTATGTAAATAAATTGATTAATTTTTGTTATCTTATTTATAGTGTTTTGTAAGTATACCTAAAAATATCTGATGAAAAAGCTTACTCCGTCAGAGCAAACATGTTATTCTTAAGTATTTCAATATATTTTATATCAACTTAAGAAGATGCATTATTTATTGATTTAAAATACTTATTAATATAATTGAACACTTCAGTAAAATGTTTTTTGTTAGGATTTTGTAAGATAGTGACATCTATCAGTTTATGGTAGTACTAATTTGCACCTGTATGTTTGTGAAACGTTAGTAATGCCTTAGAGATCCGTCATGCTTATAGTTACCTTAAAATCAACTAGATGGCGCGATGTACAGAATTTAAGAAAAGTTACCCAATAGATTGGGGTGGTTAAAAAGTCGCAAAAGGACGTCTTGCATAGGTAGCTAGGTGGCACTTGAAGTGCAAGACTGTCTTAAAAATATTTTATTCCAAGTAATAAAACACCATAAATTAGTTAAATATGAATACAATAATTAATACAATAAGTGTAATAAAGAAAATTATATTTTACTATTAACAAGTTGAAAATAATTATCCCACCAAAAACATTCTGTAAAAAACTAGCCAAGTCTCGATGGAGCTGCTCGTTTATCTCTAAAAAGTAATGAAATCTAGACAAAGTCGTGCCAAGTCTATGGTTCCTTACTGCAATTTCTTTATTATTATAGTTAGTGTTATGTGACTTGGCCGTTGAAGGGTACAAAACCAGGTGCTCCATGACACCATTGCACCAATCTGTCGCCAGAACCGCTACCCATTGACGATGGAAAATTGCCACTTGGAAAACGTTGATTCAATAACCAGTCAAGTAGGCTTGATAAAGCTGCGTATTTCAATAATACTTATGATTATCTTGTAAAGATTGTTCAACGGCCAAGTCACAAAACATTAACTATAATAATAAAGAAATTGCAGTAAGGAACCATAGACTTGGCACGACTTTGTCTAGATTTCATTACTTTTTAGAGATAAACGAGCAGCTCCATCGAGACTTGGCTAGTTTTTTACAGAATGTTTTTGGTGGGATAATTATTTTCAACTTGTTAATAGTAAAATATAATTTTCTTTATTACACTTATTGTATTAATTATTGTATTCATATTTAACTAATTTATGGTGTTTTATTACTTGGAATAAAATATTTTTAAGACAGTCTTGCACTTCAAGTGCCACCTAGCTACCTATGCAAGACGTCCTTTTGCGACTTTTTAACCACCCCAATCTATTGGGTAACTTTTCTTAAATTCTGTACATCGCGCCATCTAGTTGATTTTAAGGTAACTATAAGCATGACGGATCTCTAAGGCATTACTAACGTTTCACAAACATANAGTTTTCCCTTTATGTGGCCATTAAACCCTAACTCTGTACCAAATTTCAGCTCTCTGAGTTGATGGGAAGTACTAGTTCTATTTTGATGATCATCAGTGAGTGAGTGAGTGTCGTAAATGCGAAACTTTGCTTTCGCATAACTTCGGAACTAAATGACCTACAGACTTGAAATTTTGGATTTTAAGTATGTGATTATAGCTTACTAGATGACGAAAATTTCAGTGTTCTGGTCTTATCCAGAGGTTCTCAAATAGAGGCCTGAAAATGCGGCGAAATGGTTCCAGTAAAGGATGGTACGGCAGTGTTTGCTTCGCGCTCGACTTGGCGGGGGCACTGCCGTGCCCCCAGATTCCTATAGATAGTAGGTTTGTTGTCAGACCTTATATTTAGTTAAGTGTAACTACCTACCTAATTTTGTAGGCAAAGGTGCTGGTGACTGTATAATAATCAGGTATAGTCTGGTCCGTGAGCAAGTAGAATTTTGTCCAATGACCTCTAGCTACCCATCCTTATCGCTCGCGCGTAATTATGTTGCTATTGCGCTCACACACTCACTGCGGGCGCGCGCGCGTCGCACAGTCGCGACAGCAATATAATTACGCGCGAGCGATAAGGATGTGTAGCTAGGGGTCATTGGACAAAATTCTACGAGCTCACGGACCGGGCTTTAGGTACTTTATATGGGTTAATACTTAATGTTAATATAATTTCCCCGAAAAACCAAAATACTAAAATTAAGGTAAGAAAAACAATAGAGTTGTTTTTCTTCGTCAAGGCAGTTGTCGCTAATACTGCAGTGTATTTTATTGGGAACTATTAATTAGAATTTAAAACTAATATCTTTTAATTAGGAACATTAAACACACATTATCGTGGATATGCGCTTGGTTTCTTTCTATTAAGTACCTACTTAAAATATGTTTACTTAAGTAATTTATTTAATTCCAGTGTTATAATTCATAGATATTTTTTCAAGACCTATGAGTCAAAGTCATCCTTGATCAAATCAGCAGCTTTCTCAGCAAAGGCAATTACAGCTGCTAGAATCTCACCGCTGTTCAGAGAAGGCATGGCACTAGCGTCTACCACTCTTAGACCTCTTACACCATTGACCTTCAACTTGGAATCCACCACAGACCCCATGGAACATGATCCACAGTACTGCCAAAAAGTTGAGGACATACCCACGGCGTAACATTTCCAAAACTCAACAGTATTCTTCTGAATGTTCCTGCATTCCTTCAAATTGAGATCCACCAGCTCCGCCCCAACATTCTTGAAGTACGTCGTGTTCACTAGCCTGGATAAATCTAGCAAGAACTCAGCCATTTGGTCCAAGTCTTTCGGATTACTGAAGTGTCCTGAAGAAATAGACGGGGTGTCAGATGGGTCTTTACTCTTTAAAAGAAGTTCTCCAGTCGATTCTGGATGCCCACTGCTGACTGTCACCAGTAACAAGTCATGGCCTTTATTATTGCTGTAAATTCTGTCAACGATGTCATTTTCGTATTTGACCACGTTGGATAAGATCATCAGAAGGCCTGAGGAATCGTGAGGAAATACTAAATTGAGTGTCTGAAAATCTGGATACGATTGCGACTCGTTCAAAGCTTTGTAGCCTACTGTCACTGGCACAGGGAATTTGGTAGGGTCTGATATAGGAGTGAGAGCGCTTGAAGCCTGCATTTTGAAAGGAACGACTAATCCTACGCGATCTCTCAAGTTCTGCCCCACTGGCAAATCAGATAGGACTGGAATATTGAAGGTTTTTAGGTGTGAAGCTGGCCCTATACCAGACAACATCAGCAGTTGAGGAGATTTGACTACTCCTGCGGCCAGTATAACTTCTTTAGTCGCTTTTATCGTGGCCTTCTTGAACAAGCCGGCGGTCACTTGCACTCCTACTGCGTTCTTGTCGTCATCAAAGATGATTTTCGTCGCTGTCGTCTGTTTAAAAACGTAAAGGTTGTCCCTGTTTTTTGCGGGACTGAGGTACGACTCGGCGCCATCTTGTCTCGTCCCATCAAAGATAAGGTGGTATGGATAACTTACTCCTAGGTTATTATTGCTGTTGACATCAGGGTTGTAATCGTATCCTATTTCTTTGAAGGCCTCAATGTAGTCGTTGTTGGTGTTATCGAATTGTCTGGTCAGGCCGATGTTGCCAGTGGTTCCGTGGAGGTCTGCGGTAGGTCCGTTGAGAATTTCAGCATCGTTAATCCTCTCACTTTTAATAAAGTATGGCAACATTCCGTCGTAGTTCCAGGAGTCATCTCCTGCCACTTCTGCCCATTTCTCGAAGTCGTGAGGGTTTCCTCTTAAGTGAAAAGTGTGGGACATGGCACTGGTTCCTCCAAGCATCATGCCAGCGGTCATACCGGGCTTATGCTTCATGATGTTTTGGGATGTGTAGTGATTGTTTTGAGCTAGGTAATTGTAGTCATAACTGGCTAACGGCTGTAGCGTGAAGAGGCCTGGAAGCTGGAATAATAAGAGTGAATGTTAACATTTTTTTTTGTTATTCGGTTTCTTTCCTTTATTTCGTAGTTTACTATATTATTGAAGCGCTAACCGCAACCGTCGGGCCATTGTCCTTATATTGGCCATTGTAAGTTTTTACTGAAAATCGTGAGTGAAAGATGTCTTGATGCTGTTTTCAAATATTGCGCTGGTTTATTGTGATCGCTTACTACCGCCTTTTTGTCGGCCAATAGTTGGGTCGGGCTGTTAATCAGTTATGGAAATGTATGAAAGTGTGCGCACTTTCATACATTTCCATAACTGATTGGTGTCGGTCGATTCTTCATACAAATTAGAATCGGGCCCAACTATCGGCCGACTAAAAGTCTTCTGCGGAAAATCTTAGATGAATTTCCGTACGTCCCCTCTTATAAAAACTCAATTTAAACTCACCACGGATTCAAGAGGAGGGTCACCTCCAGCTTCTATGATGGCCACGGTGACATTAGGGTCTTCAGACAGCCGGCTGGCAACGATGCTGCCTGCTGTACCCCCTCCGATCACCACATAGTCAAACTCTAGGTTTCCTGTAAAAAAGGTATATTAAAGTTATACTGTGTTGTATTATCCCATCCCAACTAGTCCCAACTAATATTATAAATGCGAAAGTAACTCTGTCTGTCTGTCTGTTACGCTTTCCCGCTTAAACCTCGCAACCGATTTTGATGAAATTTGGCATAGAGATAGTTTGAGTCCCGGGAATGAACATAGGATAGTTTTTATCCCGGTTTTTGAAACAGGGACGCGCGCGATAAAGTTTTTCTGTGACAGACAAAATTCCACGCGGGCGAAGCCGCGGGCGGAAAGCTAGTAATGTATATCTTCGATTACCCCGGGAGGTCTGGACATCTTGCATTCTAGTTAGAAGTTAAATAGAGATATTAAGAAGAATCGGGGGTTTCAATTATTTATCAGTACTTATTAGGTGAGAGAGTCCTATTATTCTCTTTAACGATGATTCATCCGACCGATTTCGGCCATGGCGACCACTTCCACTCCTAACTGTCTTGGTGGCGCTGGTGCACCCGAAGATGGCTTACGTAGCTGATTTTCACGGAAAACAACCTCGCACATTGATGGCATCTGAGAACGCCATCAACATAATAATAGGTATATTAGTAGTAGTAGTAGGTATACTATGCATGCATATGGCATGAGAATGAACTGTTTTTGTTATCAGCCATGGGTCTTAAAATGTAGTTTCTGTGTAGGCAGACCTCCCACTCGGCGAACCGACGAGCTGATTGTCACAGGATGCGCCTAGATGCGAGCAGCGTGCAACTGGTCGTTGCTGAAATCTTGGTGGGAGACCTTTGTCCAGGAGTGCACGGCATTTGATTGAAATAAGATTTAGATACTAACCTGTAAGTGAGGCTGCAGGCGGGAATCGATGGGACGTCAAATGAAGTAGCGACAGTGCACTCAACGTAGCTTGGATTGTCTTCAGCCCAGCTAACCCTAGCGCTGCGTCCACCATGTTGACTCTGCGGCTTAGGTTGTCGGTAACTATAGTAAAAAGACATCAGGATATTGATATAGACCCCAAATGAAATGGGAAAAGGTGTAATTAGAAGAAAATAATAATCATCAGATCACAGTCTCCACTGCAAGAGTCCTGTAGTGGAGACTACAGGAGGACGTCCAGTTCGTACCAGAGCGTCGATGTGACGTCACGGCCGCCAGGTGTGCAGTGAATTCTATACACAGACAGGTTGGAGAGACCTAAACACTAAATTATTATGAAGAGTTTGTATTGAAGGTCTGTATTTTTGTAATCTGAAAACCTGTCAAATTCAAGTTTTTTTAACGACCCGAAGATTGTTACGAACGGTGGTTATTATTGTGATTTATTTCGAGGTAGAGCCCCATAACAATTCTTTTTAGTCACTTCCCATCATTTAACTATTCTCTTTTCATACTCACCCCAAAAATATGTCGTATTTAAGTCGTTACGAAGTCAGACTCAGCACTGTACAATGCCAAAAGTAACCAACTTTTATATAATTTTCGTTTAATTAAATAAATATTAAATAGGAAAGACTAAAGTTTGTATTTGAACAACTGAGGAAGTAAATTAACTGTACGATGTATGTAAGTATACCTACTTAATTTTTGTCTGTTTTTGTCCTTGTTTTTTCCATGAAGTACAGTCGACAGCATTAGTCTATTTTTGTTGAAAATTTATTATAATTTCACTACTTACTTAGCTGTGCCGGTGACTTCGTACGCGTGAAAATGGTTTGAATAATATTTCCCGTTTTGCAACTTTTCAGTTCCTGAATAACTAGCTTGGTGTACTTACAATGTTCTCGCTTGTCTTTCTTTGTCGAACGGACTACTATGCCGAGAGGTCCCGGGTTCGATTCCCTAGTTGCTTACTTAAGGATGAGAAATTTGTCCAAAGATAAAATATATATTTACTCATTTAAGTATGTACGAGTATAGTTATGTTATGTTTTTTTTTGTTTAAACTAGGTTAAAATATTTTTAGTAAAATACTCGTACAAGTTATGAACGTGACTATACGCAACGGGGGAATACGGAGTCACAAATTAAATGTTCGATGATTCTCTATTCGTAGTTTTATGGGATACTTAAGTACTTCTAATTGCTTTATCTATGTAAATTATGCACATAATATAGTTCATGGTAATTATACATGTAAAATTCTGATCCAATATTCGGAAATGTTTAAGAAGTCTACCAATCGTAGTTTTAAAATAAATGGATCGCCATTATTGTAGTATTATAAATAGCTCAATCTTAGCGATACGGCTGCTGTGGGTCTAGACAAAGTGCAAATTATAATCGCAAACCAGTCGAAAAGTGGTCGAAAAGCCCCTTTTTTGTATGGAGTTTTGACGGATTCGATTTTCGATTCGATCAAAAAGTGCGTTTTGTCTAGGGGGGCTGGTTACGATTGTCATTTTGTGGGTCACATTCAGCGTCAAATAACTAAGCATTGACACCCAAAGTAGCCAAAAAGTTTGCGTCACGTCACTGAACTTTTTGGACATTATGGATGTCACGAACTATTTGACACCAAGTGTACATTAAGACATCTTCATTATCATCATCATCATTTAGTCTCCACTGCATGAGCACGGCACGACCCTCTCTAATTTAAAATCTAAGAGGCAAATCGAGGATTTAGCCTACTCTCCCCACGCTGGCCAGAGGGGTCGGGGAGATCTGCGATGTTCGCATATCCCTTAGTCTTTTACCATAATATTATTATCCTGGAGTACCGAAAAACGCAGCGTGTGACGTACACTCACAAGGTGTACCGATAACCTCATATGGTAGCAGGAATGCGCTGGATGCCGGCCGCTACCAACCGGGCGATGTGGAAATCTTGGTGAGGACTATGTTCAGCAGTGGACGTCCTGTGGCTGAAATGATGATGATGATGAATGATGATATCCTGGGGAAGATTGGGAGCGAATGTGTAGCCTTGATTCAGTTCATGATCTTTTCATGCACTTTGAATCTTAATAATTATCTGATAAGGTATCAGATGCTCAGTGCTCGTGTAAATAAATTAGGTGGGCCAAGGTAATTTCCTAATATCTTTATCAGTTATCATAACTTTATCAAGAACCTTGCAAATGACTGTGCGTACTTACCTACGACACTAACACTCACAATGCGCGTGGACGCATAGGGTGACACACGAACCAATCACAGAGCTCTATTCAACGCTGTGCGTTCGATTTGATGCTTCACTTAAGCAAGCATCATTTGTGAATTGGTTACGCCCGAATTAACAAACGATGCGATTACGCCTAGCATTGAATAAAGCTCTGTGATTGGTTCATGTGTGACCCTGTGCGTCCACGAGCACTGTGAGACCTCATAGAAATTAATGTTTGTGAATACGGGCGTACTGCAGCCCAGAAAGCTAATAATGGCATGCGCGAGTACCAACTACTAACTAAATAAAGATTGGATTTTCCGTCATATAGCTTTTGCCCGCGGCTTCACTTTTAAATTGGTGTAGGTACCTACTTAAATATCTATAAGTAGGATATTCAGTCTATGTTCATTTGGACTACTTGGATTAGTCTCCACTAGAGGAGAACTATTTTACTCTACGGTCCCCACGTGGACTAAACGGGTTGAATTATATGATTTTAGTAAAAAAAACATATAAAAATAAGTAGGTATTAATATAAAAAAATATTTAATAACATCATTACATCACATCATTTGAGTATCATAGCACCAATTTTAAAATAAATGATTAGAACCTACAATTAATGTCTAGGAGATGGACCATAAGTCTCCAAAATCAGGTCCGAAGCTCTTTCGGCTAAAACCACAACCCCAGCGTTGATGTTCCCACTGATGGGGTACGGCATGGCGCTGGCATCGGCCACCCTCAGTCTCTGCACTCCTTTGACCCTCAAATTGCTGTCCAGAACCGACCCCATCGAACTGGAGCCGCTGTAATGCCACATAGTCGCCGACATGCTAAGAGCATAGCACTTCCAGTAGTCGTAAGAGTATTTCTCCAGGTCGCTGCAAGCGTCAAACTCCAAGTCAATCATAGCAGCGCTCACGTTAAGGAAACTGGTCATGTTGACGATTCTGGCGAAGTCTTGAAGGTACAGAGCCATGTTTTCCAGATCGGCCTCGTTGGAGTAGATACCGTGAATTATTCTGGGTTTGTCAGTGGGGTCTGCGCTTCGGAGCAGGACCTGTCCTCGAGATTCAGCGTACAACATGTTGTGAACTGTGAAAAGGGTGTACTTGCCACTTCCACCGTCGTAAAGTGCCTGGCAGACATCGTCCACGTAAGAGAATACCAGGGAACAGAACTGAATCAACGCAGTCGAGTCTGGTGGAAAGATCAAATTGATTGTTTGGTAGTCGGGGTAGGACTGGCTCATGTTCAGCGCGTGGTATGCGGTAGTCGTTGGCACGGGGAAGTCGTGAGGGTTAGCTGGGCTGGTCACCTCATCACCGGATTGTAGAGTATGCACGACTACCGCAGGGATGTGATCCTGCAGATTCTGCCCAACAGGCAAGTCTGAGATGATAGGAATGTTGAATTCGGCCAAATGGTCACTGGGACCGATGCCCGACAGCATGAGTAGCTGAGGAGTGACTAATGCGCCGGCCGTTAAAATTACTTCGAGATTAGAGTAGATGGTGATTGTGTCTCCATCGGAATTGATTGCTTCCACTCCCATGGCGTTGTTGTCATCATCAAACAAAACTTTGGTGACTTGAGTGTTTTTGAGGAGATGGAAATTCGAGCGAGCGGCGAGCGGTCGCAAGTATCCTTCAGCTCCGCTCTGACGGTAACCATCAGCGACATTAAGCAGGGGCTCTGAGACGCCGAGGGTGAAGAATGGATCATTGGAGTTCAATACTGTGCTGAGTCCCATTTCATTTAATGCAGCATATATCGGATAATTCAGCTCACTCGTTTGCCTGGTCAGTCTTAAGTATCCGTCTGTTCCTACGTATTGAGATTGAGTATCATCAGCTAAGATATCGGCGTCTTCAACTTTTTCGCTCCTCATGAAGTAGGGGAGAAGGTTCCAGTAGTTCCAGATATCGTCTCCAGCAGCTGTTGCCCATTTTTGGTAGTCGTTAGGGTTGCCGCGGACGTGTATCATGTGGTGCAGGCTGCTGCTGCCCCCAAGCATCTTTCCTGCAGTCAGGCCGGCGACGCCATCCTTCAGGTTTTGGGAAGTGTAGCCATCGTTCTCAGACGTGAAGTTGTAGTCAACAGCACTGTAAGGTATAGTAGGGAAAATACCTGGAAGCTGTCAAAGAAAACACTAATTTAGAGATAAACGGATTAACGAATTTTCGAAATACAAAATAATAATTTAGGAAAAACAAATCAGTCTTCTATTAACTACTAGTAGCATTAATCGGCAAGAGAAATCTGTGAAATCGGCAAATAAATTGCAAGATATTGATAATAATTTTAATCCCCAAATTGATTTTATTTTCAAGTAGGTACTGAATATTCTCTAAAGTTCTATGGATTGAACTAAGTATTATTAGGCCTTGTTTAAACAAGCGATCATCGCACGGTTGCTGGGCAGTTCTTATACTCGTACCTACTTTTAATGAGGGCTATCGTTTTAGCGCTCACCAGTTTGCGCCACTGTAGAGTAAGGTCCTGTCACTTGCTAGTAGCGAAGACAGTGGCACCATCTGGTGAGTGCTAAGGTGGTAGGAGTAGGACTATCGCATTTGCACTCATCAAGATGGCGCCACTGTAGAGTAAGGTCCTGTCAATCGCCAGGGGTGCCAACTGTTAAGTATAAAAACGATAGCCCTCATTGAAATCGTAACCACGTACGCGGTTACTATCTTAGCTAGTCGCCAATAACAACCTCAGCAGAACCACCCAGAAACCATGCAGTTATCGCTGTGTATGATCCACATGAGCTTTCTTAGTTTTCTTTACTCTATGGTTTGAGCTTAGCCATACTTACCACAGATTCTAATGGCGGGTCGCCACCAGCCTCAATGAGAAGGACGTTGATGTTTGACACCTCTGTCAGCCGGTTGGCGATGACACTGCCTCCAGTACCAGCACCCACTATGATGAAGTCGTAAGTGGCTCCACCTGGAAAATGACGTTGCTTAAAATACGCCGTATTTTGCAGGAAGTGCAGGCTGCGGGATATTCAGGAACGGTCGTTTGGGGAAATCTTTGGGGTATTAAATGACTATCTATCTATCTATAATATATTATCCAACAGAAGAAAAGAAATTAAAGGCTATCCCTTGGAAGAACTCTACCTTATCTAGGCAGCCAGGTAAGACGTATAGACAGGATCTAGATCCTGGCTATACAGGAGTTGTAATGATTAGAAAGATAGTATGATTAGTTCCTTTAGATTTTGAAAAGATAGGTTTGAGGTTTATTTTCATCTTTTAATGGACGGACATTTACAGTTTGGCTTCCAAACATTGTATTTTACTGTATTGGAACCCGCAATGATTGGTCAGAAGACAATAGGGGAATTACAAAATATAATATCGACTTTCCTACTTTGCAAAACGGGAGACATAATGACTGAAAGAGGATTCCTGTTAGTAATACATAGAAAACTGAATAGTGTAAATAAATTCTTACTGGACACAGAAGTAGACTCAGGCCATTTGTACCCGGTGAGCTGGAGGCCTGTGACCACCAGGAGAGCAGCCTGGATGGTCCTCACCGTGGTCACACCGTTTCCACCACCGACACCATCGTGAAGTTTCTGGAACAAGGTGTTTGCTTGATCAGTTTTCCTCCTCAAATAGCTAAATATAGGTAGGTACATACTTGTAAAATGAAATGACTTTAGTGATTTTTTAGGGTTCCGTAGCCAAATGGCAAAAAACGGAACTCTTATATAGGGTGGCCAAAACAGTGAGGTCTAAAAGAAAAATTTAGATTCCTTACATCAAGGTGTACCTAAATCACCCCCATGTATACATATAATACGATTGTGCTTAGTTTAGGAGATAGAGTTAATTTTGTGATATTTTCAAATTTTGTGACCTAGTAGGCTTTAAACATTTTTATCTTTCTTTCTGTCCAGTTACTGCTCTAAATCTGTTCTACGTAATGTAAACTTAGAGGATTCCCAATATTAATTCACTCTAAGAAAGTCAAAAACATGTAACGGAATCTCCGACTTACCACTTTAGTGGACCGATTACAGGAAATAGTGGCCCATTAAGTACATGTTTTTTTGTATTATTATGAATGTTCAGGAAACGGCGCAGTTTTTAAAATGGTTTTGGACCTATGGAAGTTCTTTTTTTTACTTAAACTTTTAAGTTGAAAATTTGATAGTGTTCTGATAAAAGCATAATTTTAATGTTTCTAGCAAAACTTTTGTATCTTGAATCAAAGATAGGAAGTTGATTATTTTTTTCAAACATCTGCAATTAATAACAAATCTGTCGAAAAAAAGAAATCTGAAAAAAGTCAACCCAAAAAAAAGATAAAAATGTTTAAAGCCTACTAGGTCACAAAATTTGAAAATATCACAAAATTAACTCTATCTCCAAAACGATGCACAATCGTATTTCATACATGGGGATGATTTAGGTACACCTCGATGAAAGGAATCTAAATTTTTCTTTTAGACCTCACTGTTTTGGCCACCCTGTAGATTCGTCATGTCTGTCTGTCCGTGCGTCTGTCCCTCCGTATGTCACAGCCATTTTTTTCCGAAACTATAAGAGCTATACTGTTGAAACTTGGTAAGTAGATGTATTCTGTGAACCGCAACTGTGATTTTGAGGCAAAAATAAAAAAATAATAATAAATATTGGGGGCTCCCCATACTTAGAACTGAAACTCAAAATTTTTTTTTCGTCAAACACAGACGTGTGGGGTATCGTTATAGGATAGGTCTTCAAAAATGATATCGAGGTTTCTAAAACACTTTTTTTCTAAACCGAATAGTTTGCGTGACAGACGCTTCCAAAGTGGAAAAAAGTTGGTCCCCCCCCTCTAACTTCTAAAATAAGAAAATGAAAAATCTAAAAAAAAAAACCTATGATGTACATTACTATAAAAACTACCAACGAAAATTGTTTTGAACGAGATCTAGTAAGTAGTTTTTTTTAAATCGTAAACCGCTTATTACCGCGTAATCTTTCATACAAATAACTTAAATTAAAAATAAAAAAAAATTAATTGTAGCGGTAATTTATTTTTAACATTTACTTACCTACCACTACATGGGTCAATAAGATAATTAACTTTTTAAAAAAATAAAACCGACTTCAAATGCGTGAACACAAAAAAAACTAAAAATTGCGTATAAAAAAGTTCATCCCCAATTTTCCACCCTTGGGGGTGAAATATTTTCTTCAAATTCGCATGAAACCACCCTTTTGATAATACCTATTCAACAAAAAAATAATCGTTCAAATTGATTTATAATCGGCGGAGATATTGCGTATAAAAAAGTTCATCCCCAATTTTCCACCCTTGGGGGTTGTTTTTTCTATTATTAAATTTAAATGGGACCACCCTTGAGGTATTACCTATACGCCGAAAAAAGATTTGTTCAAATCGGTTCATAATTGGCGGAGTTATCGCGTAACAAACATAGAAAAAAAAAAAAAAAAACATACGGGTCGAATTGAGAACCTCCTCCTTTTTTTTGAAGTCGGTTGAAAAATAAAATTTATTGGTTCAAACATAGAAAAATGCCTGAAAAAGTTATTATTGAAATAAATACTTTTCTAAAACTCACCTTTTCTAAGTCAATTTGGAACTAATGCCAAAGTACTACCCGACACTAATTTATACATTTTTTTTACTTTATCTAGGAAAAAAATATTATCTCGCCTACCTTTCTAGAAAACAGATTCGATCGCTCCTACGTAAAATATCGTAACCAACAAAATCACGTTTTCTGTAATCAGTAATCACCTTAATTAAACTTTCCCTATTGATTTTTTAGCCGTGGTGTAATGTCCTTTTCTTAAGATATTTTTATTTAATTTACAGAACATAATATTATTAATCTTTGTCTTTATGTAACAAGTTTATGTACCAAGGTGCAACGGTATACAGAAGACGGTATTCTTAAAAAATCTTATTACTCGTACAGGTCCAAGTACTTCCCGCGACCTTCGCCAGATTGTCGATCACCTATTGAGGGACCTGCCCACACTACGTTTTCCGTTTTGCATCTTCTATTTCAGAGAAAAATATTTTTTTGTTACGTTGTTTTACTAAAGGACCATCTCTTGATTACGTGTCAAAGATTTTAATGATACGTTTTATAATTATTATTCTCTAATAATCGTGGAAAATTAAATGATAAATGTATAATAACAGATCACATTTTCTAGATAATATTAAATGGTTGTGCATTTATCTGATAAATTATGCGGCGCGCACGCACAAATACTGACAAAATTTAGCGGGGATTTGCGGGGAGCCAGTCGTGGTTGCGCCGTGGTTGCGCCCCCCTGTCATTGAGTTTGGTGGGACAGTTCAGCGTGGGTCATCTTTAGTAGAGTTATTAATACATACAGGGTGGAAACGGTAAGATCTCATTCGATTATTTCTAAACTTTACAAGATATCAAAAAAAAGTTAATCCTGAAAGAACTATCAAACGATATCAATAATAATGGTACTCATTTTTTGATAATACTGTAGGTAGGTACTAAATGTATAGAAGCTGGTAAGATTGAATTTTCCAGTTTATTCTGTAACCTGTTATTGATACCGTTTGATAGAGCTCGTGAAGCACTTTCAACATCAGTAACCACTTTTACGATCTACCTATCTTCTATTAGTTTAGAAAAAGTCGAGTGTGATCACTATATCGTTTCCACCCTGTATATCTAGTTACTTTAAACCCTTTTTATTTTTTGATTAGTAATTCTATTAGTTTAGAAAAAGTCGAGTGAGATCACTTTCGTTTCCACCCTGTATACCTAGTTACTTTGAAGTCTTTTTATTTTTTATTTGTAGATAATGTTTTTGTAACGTGCCTGAAAACCTGTTCAAATAAGAATCGGTCATGCATCGTCTATTTTTTATGTAAATATTATGATTTTTTATTGTTATTGTGATTGTGTTGATTTATACTAACACTAATAATACAAAGAGAAAAGATTTTTATTTTTGTATGTTTGTATTGAAAAGGGTCAGAAACTACTGGATCGATTTGAAAAAATCTTTCGTCATTTGAAAGTGCCACGACTTTAGTGAAACTCAAGGGAAAAAGGCGATATTATCATCTATCTTTCATCTATTAAGTATGATTATTTAGTATAGTATCATGCTGTCGTATATTTTTATAAGAAAAAATCACGGGTAAAACCGCAAATAAATCATAATTTAAATATTTATTTTTCATTTCATTTCAGCGACGCTGCGGGCAAAATGTAGTCTAGAAAATAACTTCCAATCGCACTATCAAAATGAGTAAGTTAATGATGTCATTTGCTCATTTGTCGGTTTCAATAAACCTTATTAGTCAGTTTGTTTACCTTTCGTTGTTCTTCGACAGATAGTACCGATCCCCTGCTGCGACAAGTTGCTACATTTTTAAATTTATGTAAGTATTTTACTTTACTCCATCCATCATAAAGGTAGCAGGAAGGCGCTGGATGCAGGCCGCTACCAACCGGGCAACATGGAAAGCATTGGGGGAGGCCTATGTTCAGCAGTGGACGTCCTATGGCTGAGAAAACGAAAAAAGTTTATTACTTTGGTTTTTGCCCGACTGCTTCAGAAGGAGAGTTGTATTTTTTCCCAAAAATGCAAGTGATTTTGACAGCCAGAATCACGGGCATAGCCGCAGGCAGAACATAGTTAACAGTCATCGCTCTAAACTATTCCCAAATCACATAAGTAAAGCCAAGTCGTTTGGAACCCCAATTTCTTTTATTAGACCCACCATTTTGTACCTGCGATAAATATATATCACCCGACAAAAGAGGCGACATCTGTCTTGTGAAAAAGGGAATTACTAAGTAAACTGTGATTATGGGTCTTTGCGACATAAAGGAGGAAGGGTAAGCATGCTTACTGAAAAACAGTACATCAAGATAAGTTTAAATGGCACCTTATGTAGTTATTGAATCAAAACTGGCACGTTTTATAAAGCTATAATATGCCAATAATATCCGACACGAACGTTATCTAAATACATATAATAACTCAAAGGTGACTGACTGACTGACTAAAATAGTGATCTATCAACGCACAGCCCAAACGACTGGACGGATCGGGCTGAAATTTGGCATGCAGGTAGATGTTATGGCGTGGAATCCGCTAAGAAAGGATTTTACGAAACGTTACCCCTAAGGGGGTAAAACGGGATCCACACGTACGAAGTCGCGGGCGGCCGGCCGCTAGTTATCCATAAAAGCACAGGATATTATGAGTGACAGCCGATGGGACAGCAAGGTTCTGGAATGGAAAGACGTTCTCAAGGTGGACAGATGACCTGATACAGAAGGCGCTGGGATACAGGCCGCTACCGCTAAAAATCTTTGGGAAAAAGCCTATGTTCACCATTTTGATGTCCTGTGGCTAAAGTGATGATGATGACAGGTTTGTTGGGTTCCTGTATTGTGAAAAATGTAATTGAATTGCCAATTTCGTCGAAACAGTGTGCACTATCTCTAACAATGATTTACCGCTATTCAATGCATCGTAAACGTCTAATTATGTCTATCATTAGCAGAATCGATACGTCAAATTATTTATGAAAAACAACAGATAGCCAGTTTTACTTTTAGTAAGGAAAGATAGTCACTTACTTACATTGAAAAGTACGTAACATATTGCTAAATGCAGGAAATATTGTGAATTACGTTGTAGTTAAAATGTTGCGTGCAGTCGAAAAAACCAGTTTCCTATGATTCAGTAGTCAATCGATATTACCTACCTACTAGCTGAGCCCGCGGCTCCGTACGCGTAGAAATAGTTTGAATAATATTCCCATTTTTGCAACACTTTTCTTTTGCTACGACTCTATTGGTTGTAGGCTGATATTATTATTTCCTAGTCTTCCTCGATAAATGGGCTATCCAACACAAAAAGATTTTTTCAAAATTGACCAGTAGTTTTTGAGATATAGCGCGTTCAATCAAACAAACTCTTCAGCTTTATAATAGTAATAGACAATATGGTAGTAAAATTGATACTAGTGGTAGTAAAAGTATTACAATCCAACAAAACAGATCCTACGTCTCAGATGTGTACTGGATCGTATTAAAGTAGTGAAAGTGAATTTATTCTACAATAACTGTGCCTCGTTAAAAACATAATTCTCAAGTGTTTCAAGGAAATCGGATGCTCGACTTGGTGGGGGCACTGCCATGCCCCCAGATCCGTGTTGAATTGAAACCATTTACAGGCAAGTTGAATACAAAAATGTGTTTTTTAGAAATCAATATGTACTTAGTGTTTCTTTGAACTTATGAGTTGTAGGTAAATCATCAATAGAACGGGACTATTCCCACTTCTCGTTCCCACCGCTGCAACTCCTGTGTATTCAGGATCTACAGCTTGACTGCCAATAAAAACCCAACCAGTGAAGGTCAAGTTTGATCAATAGAGTCAAACAGTGATTTAAGTATATGACAAGAAGTGTGTGAACTCTACCTGCTTAGCTTGCACTTATTACTTAATCTTAAAAAATGTAATACTCGTATTTCCTTTACGAAACTCCACCCCTAAGGGAGTAAAACGGGATCCACGCGTACGAAGTCGCGGGCGGCCGCTAGTATACCTATAAACTGTGACTCTATCTACGCCAATGATTTCAGAACTCAGAATGTCTTCAAAGCACGGGGTCATCTTTCTTTTCTTACATTCACGTTGATTAATGCCCCCAATTTCCTAACCAAACGGGGTCTTTTTTGCACCGTCAATTGATTCTATATCCTTATGGGGGCCATAATGTACGGACCAGTATCATTTGTTGATCAACGATATTTAATTTTGTGAAGGTTTATTTAGAAGAATGTATGGTTTTATTATAAAGCATGTAGAAAACTTTATTCATTTAACTATTCTTTTCAGCATTATATTTTGTACAAAAAGACATTACAGACAAAGATGTTATACGCCTGGAATCAAACCCAAAAACCTCTACTCGAGACAAATTCAAATGTTTTATTAGTATGTAGATCGACGACCTCATAAAAGTAGCAGGAAGGCGCTGGATGCAAGCCGCTACCAACTGTGCGATGTGGAAGTCATTGGGGGAGGCCTATGTTCAGCAGTGGACGTCCTGTGGCTGAAATGATGATGATGACGATGAGGTCTTTTCTAGGTCACTTATTATACGTCCCAAATTTTGGTGTTTCATTATAATCGGAACATTTTTCTCGAACGGACTTTGTTCTCGATGTTATCTCAATTTATGTGTAAGTAATCTGCCTAATTTAATTTTACCAGCGCATCTAATCAACGCGATCGTAATCGCGCGTGCACATCAATTTGTCACCGAAAATTACAGATCACCGAGGTTTTAAGGATTTTATGATAATATAATCAACAAAATTGACGCCTTTAGGCCTTGGATGCTTTTATTGCGATGTTATAAAAAAAATATTAAATAACAAAAAAAAGAAAAAAGAATTTAAGTATATCGCACCTATACGGTGCAATAACGTCACTTATGCAATTTTTTTCAAAACAACTGAATCAAAGTAAACCAAGTAAAGAGGTAGATTTGGAGTATTTTCTCATAATCAGTTAAGTTTTGAAAAAAATTGCATAAGTGACGTTATTGCACCGTAGTAGGTGCGATATGTTTATATCCGTTGTCTAGTACCCATAGTACAAGCTTTGCTTAGTTTGGGACTAGCTGCGCAGTGTAAAATGTCCAAGGATATTTATTATTATTATTGTATCGATTTATCTGATAAGCCCATACTTTTGTCGTCAAAAATCAATACGATTTTATCACGGCCCGTCTGACCACATTTAAGGCTTGTAATTCGCAGCGGCTAGATCCAACCGAACAAATAACTTTAAATTAAAATAAATCTATACTAATATTATAAATGCGAAAGTAACTCTGTCTGTCTGTCTGTGTTGCTTTCACGCCTAAACCACTAAACCGATTTTGATGAAATTTGGCATAGAGATAGTTTGAGTCCCGGGAAAGGACATATTATTATGATAGTTTTTAACCCGGTTTTTGAAACCGGGACGCGGGCGATAAAGTTTTTCTGTCAAATTCTACGCGGGCGAAGCCGCGGGTGGATAGCTAATAAAAGATGAAGTTTCATTGAACTCCGTTCAGTACTTTTTCAGTAGGTAAATCCTCGGGCGGGGCACATAGCTCGTAGAGCTGATGGCCGCTGGGGCAGGAAAGTTCTTGAGTGGCGACCACGAGCCGGAAGACGTAGAGTGGGCAGGCCTCCCACTAGGTGGACCGACGATCTGGTGAAAGTCGCGGGAGGTGCCTGGATGCGAGTGGCGCAGGATCAGTTTTCGTGGAAATCCTTGGAGGCCTTTGTCCAGCAGTGGACGTCTTTCGGAAACGAACGAAATCCTCAAATTTTACATTTCAGGAATAATCTGGTAGAATGCTGACAACGTCGGGTCTGTGGTGGCATCCACGAGGGCCATCCAGACAGCTCTGCTGGTGGTGTCGGGGCTTCAGCTGACTGGGTACATGTCGCCTCCTTCTGTTCAAGTCACCAGTAAGTCCAATTTCCAATAGAAATATCAATCGGCCCAATACTCTATTTGCCTTTGTAAATTACAGAGGGTCGTGCTCTGATGACGATGACGATGATGATCATGATGATGATGATGTACTTGTTTCAGATGGAGACACCTATGACTTCGTCATCGTAAGCGCGGGGTCTGCGGGGTGCGTCGTCGCAAACAGACTGTCGGAGGACCCTCACCTCAAAGTCCTCCTGATTGAGGCCGGAGGGGACCCTCCTCTTCAATCTGTTGTAAGTAATATTTAATAGTGGTTCTCTAAGCTTATTTTAATTTTATTTATTTTAAAAATTTACATTTACGAAGAAATAGAAATATTTGATCCGATCCTCATTTCTAATTGTGCAAAACCCCCCGCAAATTATCTTGTTTTGTTCGTTCTCGTACATTCACTAAAATATTTTAAGCGTGTTTACTGTTTAGTTATGGTTTTAATAACAAACTAAGTGTGTTATATCATGATGTTCAACAGCTTCCAGGCCTGTTAACGACTCTGCAGAACTCAGTAGTCGATTACAACTTCACTTCTGAGAACGACGGATACTCAGCACAAAACCTGAAGAACGAAGTCGTTGGATTGTCAACGGGAAAAATGCTCGGAGGCACTAGTAGTCTAAACCACATGCTGCACGTCCGAGGCAACCCTCACGACTACGCGAGATGGGTCACAGCATCCAAGGACGAAGCCCTGGAGCTACTGGAATTTACTGCCATAATTCATCAGAAGCGAAAAAGTCGAAGACCAAGGAATTCTGGAAACTTCTAGCGCTCGATATGTAGGAACAAGCGGCTACTTGAAGATATCTAGACAAACGAGCGAAGATAATGCGCCAATTTTTGCCGCATTTCGCGAAATGGGACTGGATGTCGTTGCCAATTCCAACGATCCATTTTTCACGGTCGGTGTGTCTGAACCGATGCTGAATATCGCTGATGGTGTTCGCCAAAGTGGGGCCGAAGCGCACTTACGACCTATTGCCCATCGCCCCAATTTCTATCTCCTAAAAAATACACAAGTCACCAAGATTCTGTTTGATGAAAAGAAAAACGCTATTGGCGTGACAGCTGTCAACAACGGAAAAGCGATCACCATCCATGCTAATCATGAAGTAATTTTAACAGCTGGAGCATTGATCACTCCTCAGCTGCTAATGTTGTCGGGAGTAGGTCCAAAAGAGCATCTCTCTTCATTCAACATTCCGGTTGTCTCAGACCTGCCTGTGGGTCAAAACCTGCAAGATCACATCCCAGCTATGGTCGTTCATACTCTGAAACCTGGCAAACCAGATAAAACCCCGCCTAATCCTACACGATTCCCATTTCCAATTACCACTGCGTATATAGCGCTTAACATGCACCAAACTTACCCTGATTATCAAGTGATTAATGCGATCGTCTCCCCAGAGGCAAATTCATTGATTAAGTTCTGTTCCATCGCATTTTTCTATAAAGATGAGATCTGCCAAAGCTTCTTTGATGGTGGACGCGGCAAATACACTTTACTGACCCTTCTCAATATAATGTATGCGGATTGCGGAATCTCGAGGTGAAGTCCTGCTGCGTAGCACGAACATAACTGATCCCCCTATAGTCAAACTTGGGACGTATTCAAACCAGAATGACCTGCATAACATGGGTCTGTACCTCAAAGACTTTTCTAGGATTGTCAACACAACCAGTTTTCAGCATAATTATGGGAGCAGCATTGATTGACTTGGATCTATCCAAGTGTAAGCATTTGCCGAGAGATTCTTACGAATATTGGAAGTGCTATGCATTAAGCATGTAGTCAACCATGTGGCATTACAGCGGCACCAGTTCTATGGGGCTAGTTCTGGACAGCTATTTGTTAGTCAAAGGAGTGCAGAGACTGAGGGTGGCGGATGCTAGCGCCATGCCCAACCCCATCAGTGGGAATATCAACGCTGCCGTGGTGGTTTTAGCAGAGAAGGCAGCCGATTTGGTTAAAGAAGATTTGCAACCTCGATTTTTTTATCCATACCAAAACTATTTATGGTAAATCCTACTAATATTATAAATGCGAAAGTTTGGATGTCTGGATGTTTGTTCCTCTTTCACTAAAAAAAACTACTGAACGGATTTTGATGAAACTTTAGACTATTATTGTTTACTAGCGGCCGCCCGCGACTTCGTACGCGTGGATCCCGTTTTACCCCCTTCATCTATCTTACGCGGTTTAGATTTTTTCCTATAAATGTATTTTCCCGCTAACTCCCGTTCCCGTTGGAATTTCACAATATCCTGTTGTAACTAAGCTTTAAGTTTACTAAGGGACCTGCATGCCAAATTTCAAGCGTCTAACTTAAGCGGTTTAGATTTTTCATACAAAAGGATTTTCCCGGTAATTCCTGTTCCTGTGGGAATTTCGGAAATTCCTTTCTTAATGCACCTCTACGGTACCTAAGCTACGCCCCTTATAAATTTCAAGTGCCTACGTTTAGACGTTTAGGCTGTGCGACGCACAACGCATATTATATTTAAAGTTACAAAAATATATTATTTATCAAATAAAACCTATTCTAAGGTAATTTATGATTTTTGCAATAAAGTCCTATTTTTTCATTTTTATGAAATATTCAAAAGCCAGTAAAAAAAAATTTTTCGCTCCACCCTACTGTGCGTGGGTATGTCAGTGAGTCAGTCATACAAAAGGAATTTCCCGCTAACTCCAGTTCCCGTGGGAATTTTGCAATATCCTGTTGTAACTAAGCTTTAAGTTTACTAAGCAACCTGCATGCCAAATTTTAAGCGTCTAACTTACGCGGTTTAGATTTTTTCATACAAATGTTTTTTCCTGCTAACTCCCGTTCCCTTGAGAATGTTGCAATATCTTGTATTAACTAAGCTTTGAATTTACTAAGGTACCTTACCTGCATGCCAAATTTCAAGCGTCTATCTTACGTGGCTTAGATTTTTTCATACAAATGTTTTTTCTCGCTAATTCCCGTTCCCGTAGGAATTTTGCAATATCCTGTTAAAACTAAGCTTTAAGTTTACTAAGGTACCTGCTTGCCAAAAGACAATGCCGGAAATTGGCGTCTTTTTTTTTTCGCGCGGCCATCGACCAAACCTTGTTTTTTGATTACAAAATAGTGTAATAAACCAAACTTAGTATAACATGTATACCTCTAAACTCAGTTTGAACTGAGTTACGAGCATCAGAAGTTTGATGATTTTCATACTAGATTTGCTGTTTGGGCGCAAGTTTTGTAAGAAATTGCAACAAAATAATGACATTTTATGTGTAAACAAACAATACCATCCATTAAAGGCTCCAGACATCAGTATGCAGCAGAATCAGCGCAATAAAAAATAGCGCAATATTTTGTTGCAATTTCTTACAAAACTTGCGCGCAAAAAGCAAATCTAGTATGAAAATAATTAAACTTGTAATGCTCGTAACTCAGTTCAGACTGAGTTTAGAGGTAAACATGCCATAGTAAGTTTGGTTTAAAACACTATTTTGAAATCAAAAAACAAAGTTTGGTCGATGGCCGCGCGAAAAAAAAAAGACGCCACCTTCCATACAAAATCTGGCATTGCCATTTCAAGCGTCTTACTTAAGCGGTTTAGATTTTTCATACAAAAGGATTTTCCCGCTAATGCCCGTTCCCGTGGGAATTCCTAAGTATCCTATAACCTGCCCAGGAGTATGAAGAATAATTGTACCAAGTTTCGTTAAAATCCGTCGAGTAGTTTTTGTTTCTATAAGGAACATACAGACAGACAGACAGACAGACAGACAAAAATTTTACTGATTGCATTTTTGGCATCAGTATCGATCACTAATCACCCCCTGATAGTTATTTTGAAAATATATTTCATGTACAGAATTGACTTCTCTACAGATTTATTATAAGTATAGATAACCCAGAATAACTAAATTTCACGCGGGTGAAGCCGCGGGCAAAAGCTAGTATTAAATATGTAGGTACTATGTTACAGATAAGTACAACTGAATTACATAAATTATTTAAAATAAGGTATTAATGAGTAAAAAAAAGTTTGTAAATGTATGAGGATCAAACTGAATCTCATAGATTGTATTTTTAACATTTTTGTTAATTGAGAGCCTGGAAAGTGGAAAATAAGAAATAATGAAAAATGAAAATAATAAAATAGCATATAAACTAAAATTTATTTTAGCCCTGAAAACCCAATTCGTTTTTAATTAAGTTTATTAATTTGTTTTTTTTACTTACTAAATACCTTTGGCCAAGTTGTACATGCTGCAAATGCTGAGAGTCGACGTAAACTCCGCCGCCGACGTTCTGACACCTCTCATCGAAAACATCTGGATGGAAGAGGAACTCCCAGACGACTGGAATAAGGGGCTTTTAATTACTGTGCCAAAGAAAGGGGATCTAAGCCAGTGTAGCAATTGGAGAGGTATCACTTTGCTCTCGATACCGTCAAAGGTTTTCTGCAAGATTATCTTGGATAGGTTATCGGGGGCCGTTGAACCTCTTTTGCGTAGGGAACAGGCTGGCTTCCGCCCGAACCGCTCGTGTACCGACCAGATCAATACTTTGCGTATCATTTTGGAGCAGTCATCAGAATGGCAAAGGGAAGTCTACCTAACCTTTGTAGACTTTGAAAAAGCCTTTGATACGCTGAAGTGGGCAAGTATATGGTCGCGACTCGCTGACATTGGTGTCCCGCCGAAAATCATCGACCTACTGAAGGCCATCTACAGGAAATATTCTTGTACGGTGACTCACGACGGCCTCATCTCCGAAGACATCGAGGTGCATGCGGGCGTCCGGCAAGGCTGCCTGCTTTCGCCCCTTCTCTTTCTGGTTGTCTTGGATGGAGTCATGAATCGCGCATATCAAGACCAACGGCGTGGAATAGAGTGGGGTATAATCGGAGTCTTAGAAGACTTAGATTATGCCGATGACCTCTGTTTGCTGAGCCACACGCATCACGATATGCAATCCAAACTTAATGACCTACATCGAGAAGCGGGTATCACAGGGCTCAAAATTAACTGCCGGAAGACCCAAGAGATGCGATCTGGAGTGAGAAATTGCACGCCATTACGGATTGGTGCAGAGGATGTGGCACGAGTCCACAATTTCACCTACCTCGGGAGCGTCGTGTCAGAAACTGGAGGTACCGAAGAGGACATCACTTCGCGCATTGCCAAGGCCAGAGCTACCTTCGCACAACTTCGCCCCATATGGCAGTCACGGAAATTGACCCGAAGGGTCAAGATCAAAATATTCGGGTCCAACGTTAAATCCGTTCTGCTCTATGGGTGTGAAACGTGGAAGGTCACAAAGGTTATCTCGCACCAGCTGCAGGTCTTCATCAACCGCTGCCTTCGCCGAATTCTCGGCATATACTGGCCCGAGAAAATCTCCAACGTCGAGCTATTGGAACGCTGCCACGAAATTCCGATCGACCAGCAGATCAAGCGCCGCAAGTGGAACTGGATTGGCCACACTCTCCGAAGGGACCCCGATCACATCCCTAAGCAGGCTCTGGATTGGAATCCCCAAGGAAAACGCAAACGTGGTCGACCCAGGCAAACTTGGCGGCGCACTGTAGCGGACGAGGCGAAGAAGATCGGCAAGACCTGGAGCGAGATCAAGCGAGAAGCTCAAGACCGAACGCGATGGAGGACTGTTGTGGACGCCCTCTGCCCCATCTAGGGGACATAGGACCATAAGTCAAGTAAGTCAAGTTGTACATAATCTGTGGTGAAAAAATTGCATTTTGACAGCTCTTATGGCGGTAGAAAAAAGTATGCAATGATTGTGCGTGCGTGTCAGTAAAATATTATTAATATTTGAAGTGAAATTATTAGTGTGATAAATTGCAAAAGCACGCAATTAATTATATTTTATCTTATTCGCAAAATCAGTGATTATTTTGTGTGATAGTTTGCTTAAGTTTAAAAAGTATTTCTTCGTTTTGCATTAGAGTTTAATCTATTCAAATTGTTAATCTGTTGTCGTGCAAGGATGCTGATTGCTGATTTTATCATCATAGAAGGTAAGTGGAAATTTCGTTTTAAAATATTTTAGGTATTGGTGACCAAAAAACGATTTTGAAAGATAGTGAAAGAAAAACAATAGAAATAATCTTTGTCAACGTGTTTCAACGTGACTGATGCTGAACACATGGATACAAGCGTGTAAGGTATTTACAAATTGCTTCTCGAATATCCATTTGATAAATAGTTAGATAACTATTTTTATATTTTACTATCGGCCGCCCGCGACTTCGTAGGTACGCGTGGATCCCGTTTTGCCCCCTTAGGGGTTGAATTTTGCAAATACTCGTGTTAGTGAGCACCTACGTTCTAAAAGGAACCCCCATGCAATTGAGACTCCTAGCACTTGTAGTTTTTGAGATTTCGTGATGAGTGAGTCAGTCAGTGACCTTTCGCTTTTATAGATATATGTAGATTATTCCTAGCTGCGTCCGCGACTTCGTACGCGTGAAAATTGTTTCAATAATATTTCCCGTTTTGCAACATATTTCTTTACTGCTCTGCCTCTATTGGTTGTAGGGTGATGTTAGTCTTTCTCGATAAATCGGCTATCCAACACAAATTAATTGTTCAAATCGGACCAGTAGTTCCTAAGATTAGCGCGTTCAAGCAAACAAACGAACGAACTCTTCAGCTTTTTAATATAAGTAATTAAGTATGTGCTATTATCGAAATTTTTCCCATGTGATTTTTCTAATAGATTACTCTGCTTACCGACGTCAAACTATTAATCGATTGATAAATAAAACGATTACAATCTTAGAGTTAGATCAAAACAAACGCAAAAACCGAAATAATCAATTTATTTGGGTTTTTGTTAAATGCGCTAGCTTATAATGTTTATAACGAAAATAATAAGAGCGCTTTCACATTTAGGCGATTCAGCAGCGCGACAAATGCGCGAATTTTCATACTATGTGACAGCGGATGTATGCCCTTCACATTATAAAAACGCCGCTGCCGCGCTGCTGTCGCGCTTCTAACGTCCTAATGTGTAAGCGCTCTAACATTAAAATTTCGTGGGGGGCCTGCCCACACTACTTCTTCCAGTGGATAT